TTCCATGCCGCCTCTGTCAGTGACGTGTTGGCACTGATGGAAGTCCCACAACACCCAGCACCTATGGAAGGAGGCCGAGTCTGCTACTGCCAACAACAGACATGTCCAACAAAGCCCCACTCTGGAACAGTTGCTCACTAAAGTCACTCTCTTCCCTACCAGCTCCTCAGTGTTAGCAGCGACCTGGCCTACCCAAAACAGACCAGTTCATCTCCCAGGTTTTTCAGCTCCATGGCCAAGCAGATGAGGGCCAGTTACAAAATCGATCTGCAGTAACTCCCCTCAGTCATAGTGAAGGGGGGAAGATGTACAGTGCTGTAACAGCTCTTCCTCACAGAACCTTTGCAGCGATGTTCCCAGCCCTGCTTTGCAAATCCCTGTTCTCCCCTTCATAGAGCACACATTCTACACATTACGTTGCCAGTTCCATATTCCCACATGTACAATTTGTTAAACTGGAGCAACACTTTTCATTTCACAGCAATCGCTGTGGGAGCGTTTTTCTCTAGCAGTACAGATCCTCTCCTTCTCCAGTTCTACAGGTATGCGGATGTCAGCAGAACAGTTGGTAAACTCCCATCACCAAGGGAAGGCTCTCTGCACTCACGCTCTTCCATCTGCGGGATTATCTCAGTTTGCCAATCAGTCAGCTCCATGGGACATATATATACCTGCTCCAATACACCCACCTGCAGACAGGCACTCCACCTGCCTCCTCCTGGAGAGACTTACGGAACTCCTCCTCCCATTACCCCTCCATCTTCCAGCAGGTTTTTCCAAGAGAAACAGAAATCTGACTTCAGTATATTTAATTTGCAGGGAATGGTGTTTACCTTACGCAGGGGAAGGAAGAAAACCGCGCTGGTGTGCAAAACCCTACAGAAATAGATCCCGCTTCCTTGCAGTGCCAGCTAACAAAGACAGAAACCTTTCAGTGGGCTCCAAGAGACAGGAACATTTCTAGGGTCAACTGCAGGTTGCTCGAGTTACTTTATCTACCAAGTTGCATTTGCTCACTGACCTGGGCCTTAAGACTTACTGATGGGGTATTTTAATGCAATAGACACATCCACGGGGAAGCTTTATCTACCTACCATTGAGAGACTGCCAGAGTCACAAAGCAGAGTTATCAAATGGATGATTTGGTGTATGTTTTTATCCAAAGCAGATACATCACTCAATTTATCATTAGAAGCACTTCATATCTGATGCCATCTTCTCATAAAAGTATTGTAGATCACTAATGTTACATACTGGGTGTATTAAAGTGGCACTCGCAACAATACAGTTCAGAGCACTTTTGATGCAACAATTGCTATTTTCTGAGGTACAGCAAAGAGAAAGAATTATTTAGAGGAAATGTAGGGGAGTAATTGCACAGGGATAGTCTATATCCCTGAAATGAGGTGTGGTAGGTTTCTATGAGTATCATTTAATGCCATATCACAGGAGAGTACCGTGTGTGTTCCATCCATACACTTGCACAGAAACCAGACATACAGTGTCACACAAGGTCTTCATTTAACAAATCCATCAGGGCATGATGCAATCAAACCAAGGATATATACTACACTATAATACAGAGGACAGAGGACATTGGTTTAGATGCACAATATTATGTATGGAGCAATTCTTGCCAATTTTTCTTCTTCACTGAGGTAAATGATGCTATGACTCAATCTTTCTGTAAAGTAATTTCATTGCTTAGATTTATTTCTATGATGTTACTCACTGTTTGGGCAGAGGGGACTTCTAAATCAGGTTTCTTTCTAAAACTGTTTTATCAACCATACTGCAGAAATCAACACGGCTGGGAGAGTCCACTCATTGCATTGTTGAGCATAAAATGATTGTATCCCTTACAGGGCACATAAATAAAAGTCTCTGGCAAGGACTAGCATTTTGGATATTCAATAACATTTACTACTTTATCAGTATATGCTAGGTTGATTATATGAAGAAACCAACAAAAGCTGTTAGTTTACAAAATTCCCTTATTCACAACGGAATACATTAAACATACTGTCTGCAGAAAGGGTATGCTTAGCATCCCCAGGAGAAAGAAAACAAGAAGTGTTCACATTCTTTAGGTCTGACCCGTGGCAAGGACATAGAAGGGTTAGATAACATCTGTTACTGACCATAGGTAAGCTTTTAATGGTATAAATTCAGAGATTCAGACCAGCTGAATCCAAATTAAAATGCATGTGTAAAAAAAAGAAGTGTGTCAGGAGTCAGGGGCAGAAGACATTCAGACTAGCATGTGGCGTTTTCTGTGGAGAGCAAGGTGGTCCGAACGTGAAAAGCTACGGTCACAGTCTGGGCACTGAAAAGGTTTGATGCCGGTATGCTTGCGGAAATGCCGCGTTAGTTCATCAGAACGGGCAAACTTCCACGTGCATCCCTCCCAAGTGCACTTGTACGGTTTTTCACCTGGAAAAAGAAACACAGAAGTGGGGATTTAAGACACAAACACAGCACTTACACATCTGACAGGTTTAGCCTCTTGCCTTGTCGAATTTCAGCAAGTACTTTAATGCTTACTCAGAAAGCCTCCCTCTGAACAGCACCAGGCTGCAGAGCACTCTCTGCCAGAAGCTGTCTAGTTGAAAGCAACAGATAAAAAATTGTTTCCTGCCACAACTTATTTTTTAGTGTCTCTCTGTTCCTCTCCTTCTTGCCATATTAGCACTTGTTTTGTCTCACCAAGCCCAGAAGTGTGAAGGTTTAAGCATTTGTTCAAGTATTTTCAAAACCAGGCCCCCATATTCTAGATTAGCTGGGGGAAAGGACTGGTGCTACCATTCAGCACAGCAGACAGAGATCTTGCTTAAAGTTACTGTAGTGTAAGTAACTGGCACCACTATCATAAGTAGCTCAACTTAAAGCCTCTCTCAATCATTACTTTGTAATATGTGATCCTTCTCCTTAATACTGTCATGTTGCCCAATATGTAAAGGGCTGTCTTGACGTAAAACAGGTAAAATGGGGCTCTGTTTTACCCAGAAGTGTCCTGTATCTTTGTAAAATCTTTGATGTATATTCATTCGGCAATGCCAAGATGAGTATTTCTAAAGAGAAAGGAGATGGGGATGTGTTTACTGAAACACTCACTCAGAAAAAGCACTACCGAACCAGACGTTAGCACGTACACATGGAGCAGATGTGTTCGTATTTGGCACATGGTCCAGGCTTTTGCAAATGGGTTACTCCCATGGAAGTCTCAGGCAAGTTTAACAGTGATGTAAGATGTGAGGTACTGCAAGTTGAACTGATTTGGTGTTTACAGGGTGTGCAGATTGAGCAATCTTCAAGCAACTGGACAGAAAATGAGCAAAGAGCCAGCGAATGTAAAGCATACCATCATACACCATGATCCTGCTTTGGCTTACAGTCTCCTGTTGTGGATTTTTCCTGCTTCATCCTCCGTCTTTTGCTCAGCCTACAATTATGTTCAGAACAATGCCAGATCTGTCACTTTGTTATTTACACCTGTGCTCGCCTGGCCATTAGCACAAACTAAAAGCGTAGTCTGCTATTTTACCATAGACTTGATGAAAGAAAAGCATAGCAATGCTCAAACCTGTATGAGTTCTTCTGTGAGCTTTCAGATGGGAGCTTTTAGTGTAGACTTTGTTGCAGCCTTCATAATCACACCGATGTATTCTGCGTTTTCTTTGTGTGTCTGGAGATTCCACAGGTAACGGTCTCTTTCCTGGCTGAACTATAACTGAAGGGTGATTCCTGCAAAGTCAAACTGCATGTTAAAAATGAAAAACATTCAGCACAGCAAACCTCAGCTCAGATGATTCATGACAGAGCTCTTTATTCACTACCACTCTGTCTCTTGGCAGTAAGAACAGCATTACATGCATGTCGAAAAATTCAAGAGGGTTTAGTAAATTTTGTGTATTCTAGCAGCAATGTTTTAAAATGTTTACTCACTCTGTGGCATGATGTAGCCATTTTCACTACTCCCTGCTTTTTTTTAAACTTATAAAGGAAAAATGCCTTCAAATTCCTGTTTTTCCAAAGTAAAATTTCTCAAACTGAGTTCATAGTGAACTCTTCTTGTATTTGTTCACAATTCTTCTTCTTCCTTCAAATGCAACTAATTCGCTTGTAATTGGAAACAGCTACTCCATATTATTAAAGAAATTGTATCTTTAGGGTTTCAAAGCAGAACTCAACCTTTATTGTTCCAGCTACTCCTTTAGACAGTAATTAAGAGTTTCCTGTTTGGTGCTGGCAGGAGGGTGCGGCCTCCCTGTACCACTGATGTCAGTTCCTAAAAGTAGAGTTCAGCCCGAGGGGCACACCCACAGGATGTCTGCAGTTGTCCCTCCACCTTCACAAACATCAGTTTTCGCTTTTGAAGCCCACAGGTACATTGCAGGTAAGACATGTACTAACTACATGCGGACTTCTGTACCAAACAAAACCATACACATTCATGCATGTGAAAACCCATCCAGCTTCTCAACGGGTGTCGCTGCCTGTGGATATTGAGGTTTTAACAACACCCCTACTGTAGAACAGCGACAACCTTGGTACTTTCTTCCACGTCAATATTAGAAAAGTAAGTTCATCAAAATGGTCAGTGGCATTACAAATCCTGCAGCCTCAAAAAGCTGCATTTTTCAATCCATTAGCAGATCTGTATCAATGCTTTTAATGTATTTTTTTAGCTTTCAACTTAGTATATGACGTGTGGGCATTACCATCCCTTGTTGCAAACCCAGCTCCTCCATGTGACAGAAGTAAGCTTTCTAGAACTCCTGTCTTTCCCCAGTTACTGTATTTCACATTTCTTTACTGACTGAATTATGTTTTATAACTATACAGTGCACTAGGTTGTACTAATTACTTAAACCACGTTCCTTTAGGGCCCGATTTTCAGAAACACTGAATACCTACTTCTCTCGTCAAAATAAAGGGCATGTGCTAAAGACAGAAAATCCTGTGCGTGGTTTAACAAGAAAAAAACCACCTCTGTTGCTCTCCACAGCAACAGGATGGGAATTACCAATGTGGGAAAAGTTTAATTCTGTTATTAATTCTTATATTAGAGTTACAAGCTTGAAATTGGGAGCCAAATTCTTTTTCTTCGGAGTTTCTGTGACTGTTGAGTGATGTGTTCTTCAAGTGCATGTTAAATCTAGCTAAAAATATTGTAATGGCAGGAAACCCCTGACGGTGATGTTAGATACAGACGGACGTACTCTCAAATAAGAAAGGAAAGCTTTTGGCTTCCAAAGAAATGCTTCTCTAAAGCAATGCTGCATTTTAACACTGTTGCACAGCAGTCTTTTTGGAGAAGCTCTGGCTTAGGACAGCAAAGAGATTTGATTTAAATGCCTGTATGTAGAGGCTAGTCCTGGACATGGTAACATCTGGAAAAAGGGGAGAAAGAGGATACTGGATGTACACCATATGTGATGGGTTTCAATCTAAGAGCGTGTAAAAAAAGTGCTGAGGATTTATCTCTGTCTCCTTTTCCCTTTAGAGAAAAGGAGGCTGGCAAGACACAGGGTGTTACAATAACCAGGTAGGGTGTGGCAGTTTTAAAAAATGGCTAAGGTGTCAAAAATCAGAGGTAAATAAATAAGGGCCAATAACAAAAGCACAGCTTCAATTCTTTCATTCCCTCTTACACAACCAGATACAAATTCACGTAAGTCTAACCATTTAAGTGTCATTATTTAATCAGTATCTTCCAAAAATCATGTTATAATTTCAACAGCTTTTTCTCCTTATCAACAGACCACATTATGTTGCAAGCCTGAGTCAGACTTCAACACTTGCACTCTCAAGAAAATACGGTGTTAATGAGGCTGCTTTTATCTGGTCAGAGATTATTACCTCAAGTTTGATTTTAGAAATAACCGCACAGTTACTTCTATTATCAGACATACTAGAAAGTCCAGCAATCCCCACAGAAATGCCACTACTGTCATATATATATGCACACACACACATACATATATACATGCGTGTATGTCTAAAACTAACACTAAAGGAAGATTAGTCACTTAAAAGTGAAAGTTTCTTATGTCCCTTTACTGTAGCCTATTTAGTGCACTTTGGGCAGTTGGAACCTATGAGAAACGGTAAAAAATCATTGCCAAACTATAGCTCAGAATGCAGAGAGAGAAAGGCTGATGAAGCTGTGAGACAACAGGAGGTTTTATAAAGGTCTAGGTGCCTTGCCTTCTAACTTGTGTGATTTGTCTGTGTATTTTTTTAAATGATAGAAAGATACAACCTGTCATTTACAAACTTCTTGTTGTGAATACAGCAGAACATGAACTTGACAGGGCTGCTTTTGGGAACTAGCAAAAACTGCAGCTCTGCAGGACAGCTAGGAAGCAATTTAAGCCACTACCCAGGACAGGGTCTCCATAAACAATGCTCTGCATGGACAAGCAGAGGAGATGCTTTGGGAACATGGACTATTCAACACTACCTACATTATACCGAATTTCATATTCTTTGCTCAGCGGATGGGTTTCCTGTGGAAACTGGACTCATTGGGAAATAATGCAAATCACTAATGCAGGTGACAAGTCTGAAGAAGTCTCAGCCCTGGAGGAAGGGTGTGGTATCAACCAGGAACAGCACTTACTGGTTTGCTCTTAGTAATGAGGCCTAACAAAGAACAGAAGTAAAATGAGCCATTTGTAGTCCTGACCTAGCAGAAGTTAGTTCCAAGTACATACAGACCTGACTCCCTTGTGTGGCAGATCCATTACGGAAGGTAAGTAACCACCCAGTAAACACAGATGTTTACTCTTTTATTGTATGTTTATTGTAATAAAACATGTAAGGTTACTTTTAAATAAACAGCACACAGTTTATAAAAGCTAGCTGGCCACTAGTTAATTGCAAAGTGCATGCACTCTACAAGCTGTATCTAAGTTGGTTAGAGACCTGAAAACAAGGAAAGGTGTCCAAAAGATGGCTGTGCAGAATGTAGTTAGCCCTGGAGCCATGGTGTGCCTTCAAACCTGGGAATGGTCATGAGCAGGAGGAACTGGCTGACTTGTGAAGGAAATGCAGACCATGCTTTCTCTGGAACTCCACACTCACACACTCATTCTGGGCATCTGACTTGGAGCCCTTTTTCCCCACTCTAGGAGGGGAGGTCTCCTACAACCACTCTGAGGGTGATGACGAGCAGGAAGAAAGGGCAGAAATGGATTCTGAGGTCATGTGCCTTGAGCCCTGCTCAGTTCCTAACTTCACCTCCTGCTAGAGCCATGCCAGCAGCCTGCACGCCTGCCCAGAGCACTGCCTGCAGAAGGACGAGGCACACTCTGGGCCATTCCATGATTTTGGTAAGTTGAGAGAATTCACCCTAGGAAAACAGGAGATGGAAGGGTGCCCATGGCTCCTCATGTACTTCCTGAGAAACTTCTAGTATTTCCAATTAAAGTCCCTGCCCAGACCTCACTTCTTTCTAGCCCTGGCTCCGCCTTCTGCAAACAGAACAGTTCTAAAGCCTAAAGATCTGTGATCCACTTTGTGCAGTGGCCCCAGTAACAGCTGAACCAGCACAATGACTTGGTACTGGGGTGGAAGTAAGTGGCTGGGAGGAGAGCAAGCTTCAGGAACTACTTGAGCTGCCAAAAGAACCACCCACAGAACAATGGCCTCAGGTAAACATGGAATTTCACTGGATATATAGAGAACTTGTAGGCCTGAGGGGGTTCTTTCTGCCAAACAGCCAAAAGTTACTAAAAGACAAAGAAGTCCTCCAAGAAAATAAAGTCAGAAGAATCTTTTCAAGAAAGGTATTTCAGCTAACAATGAGATCAGTAGAAAATGTCTTGACAGCTTCTCTCCAGTTTGCTGCTGGTTTTACATGAACAGGTATCACTGGCATACTGAGAGCCCTACTGTCAGTGATCTGTAGGACTGGGTCTAGCATTACTTTAAAAACAGATTATATAAATGGCAGATCTATGTCTCTGCAATGTATAAATACATATCAACTCCTGTATTGCTGAAGAGTGGAAAAAACAGTAGAAATCACATTTCACAGTGGCAGTGGAGGGGAAAGGATGTTTTTCTATATTTTATCACACGTTCTAAAGCACAGTAACACCCCCTTCCCACTCCTCAAAATTGGTTAACTGCTGCAATGAACTGCTTTTTATTCTCTTGCTGATCTTGGGACTACTGTTCACTACTTACTCTTGCAACATTACTTGCTGGGGAGACAATGAGGTCATCATTGGAGGTGACATTTGTTCAGGATAGAAGTCAGTCTTCTGCGGTTCACTTCCTGGCTCTACTTTGATTGTCTTCTTCAGTGTGGGCTTCTCATAAGACTCAATGACAGGCACTGTATGGGGGAGGGTAGGAGAAGGCAGTCAACACATCAAAACCACGGGAAGTTATAGAAATTATATACATAAAAATCAATAGTTAAAACAAAAGAAATCCCCCAGCTTGATATTTAGTGCAACAATTTATGCTCAGAATCTTCCCGTTTTAGTCTATCTCCTGATGAACTATAATTCAAAACAATTCTATTCATTTTCATCAGTCCAGCATTTTTATCAGTCCAAATCTCAGCAGATAAACAGCTTTTGCAGGTATGAGAACAGAATACAACCTTGGTAAGTTTGAAAAAATATTTACAAAGTAAATTCTATGCCTGTGTATTTCAGAACAACAGGAATTACGTTTCATTTCCTAAAATGTGAAAAACACTAAAAAAGTGCTTGGATATAGAGTTATTTTCCCAGGATGAGATGGTGCAAGAAGAAAACTCTGACAGAACCAACCTGGCATACTACTTGGAGTTTCCATCTCATCTGCAAGAACTGTTGACACCATGATGGGCTGCTGAAGATGGGGAGCATACATAAAAGGAACTGGCTGGACCACAACAGGCTGTATAACCGGGAGTATTCCAGGGCTTCTCAGTCCATGGCGTGAAAGAGCAGCGGCCATTACAGGTGGGATTGTTATTGGCATGGAAATAGGCTGTACTCCTGGGGGTGACGGTGTGAATTTACTGAGAGGTGAGCTGGGTGAGGACAGAGTCAATCCAGGTGAAGTTCTCCTATGCACAGTCTGGAATTTTAGAGGGGAAGGAGAACTTCCAGTTGAAGGTGGTGAGCTCCGTTTGTTCACCGTAAGATCTACTGGCTCCATCTGGATTCCATTTGATAGTCCTTCGGGGCTTGAGTAGAATTTATTGTGCAACATACCCGGTGTAGAATAAATGACGCTGTACTTGTTTGGCTTCATTTGGTCCATGTAATTGGACGGGTATGACTGTCAGGAGGAGTGGAAAAAGAATTAAAGAAAATAAAGTAATAAATCAACACATACAATTACTGCTGAAAAAGAAAGGCAGTTAATAAAAACTGAGCAAAATGAGAGACTTTCAAGAAAGCACTTCAATGTACTTTCTAAATAAAAGTGAAGTAAATAAAGCCTAAGATTTCGCACAAAGGAAGTTATTCAAGTACTGATTCACTGTTTCAGAAGCACTGTAGAACAGATGATGAAAACAAATCCTAAAGGCTTACTGAACTCTTTCTACGTTAAAAACTGTTTTTCATATACTAAGCTGCACATAACTGACTGGGGAGATGGTGCTATGTCCAGCGTATAACTACATACTGAGGATCATGAAGTCAAGCAAGACAGGAATTAAATTTGACTTAGAATTGCAAGTAATGGGTCCCAATCAAGGGCTTAGTTGGAAAACAATCAGAAGTTTTGTACCTGAACCCTATAAGCAATAAAAAATACACAGCTGCGCTATATAAGCAACAGGTGAGAAACTCTTGAGAAACTCGAGTGCAAAAGATAAAATTCTAAACACTGCTCCCCCACCCCCCCACCCCCCCTTTTTTTTTTCTTAAAGAAATAAAGCAGCTAACCAGGCAGTCTGATTTTGGAAAACTACTACAAGGATAAACATTTGGTGTGTTTGAAGAAGATTCCTGTTAGTGGTAGCTATCAGTTCTCACTACAACATCATATAAACCGCAGACCTAATCTTGATCTATGTGACTATCTCCACTTTTTAGTGGAAGCCATTTTTGCTAAGAATTATTACCATTCATTGCAGAGTACAGTGTTATTAAACAACTATCCACATCAATTTTGCATTTAAAGCTCAGTGAAAATTGAGGTTGTTTACTAACAGGTAAGTTGCAGTGGAAACCAATGTGATGTTCTAACGGAGACAGACATAGAAATGCAATCTACAGTTTTTCAGCCTTTAGATGTAATTTTTTGGAAATAAAATGCTATCCTTGGATTCCAGATAAGTAAGAATTCACATTAAGGCTAAGTAGTTCCGCATTAATATTAAAAACCTGCTGAATTCTCTGGCACCAAAAAGACTCTGATGAAAGGGTTTAAAAAAATATTCAAAGGGTAGAAAGTGAAAGAGATTGGAAGTATAAAATGATTATATTTTTATACAAACATTTACATGACATTTCAATTATTTTTTTCCTGAGGTGAAAACTTGTAGCAATACATCTTCCCAGTTTCTCACCTGTCTTCCCTGTAAGAGCTAGTCACTTGGTTTTAAATGTCCAAGTTAACTAAAAATATTTTTGCAAAATGACAGAAATGCATTTTTCTTCTTTTCAGTTACTGTTTGAAACAGTGTTTAGAAAACGTTAAATTTTCCTGCTGCATTCATAACACTATGGTAAAAAACAACGCTGAGACACCTATTCCATAAAGTGCTCAAATAAAGTAGCATACACAATGGTGATTAATCTTGAAACAGTAAATATTACAGTAAAACCTCTGAAACTTTATTTTCTTTCTGACTAGTCTTACAAATTCAGTCTAAACAAATGTTCATCTTGATGGCAATTGGTTCCTCAAAATTCTATTAAAATGTGATTATTGCAAGCTGCGCTGGCTAAAAGAAGTTCTACAGATTTGCCACCACTGCTGAGGCAAGCAATGAAATGATTAGCTTTCTAAGTGATGAAGGCAACTCAATATCGATAGAGTTTAATATGTAACAGTATTTAATATCTACTAAATCTGATGAAGTTACAGCCACAGGCAAAAAGATCAGAATTTAAACACTTAGGAGATACTAAGTACTTCTGTTAAAATTGCTTTACTGGTTTACAGTACGAAATCTACCCAGCTTCTACAAACTGTAAGTCTTCCGCGACTCAGCACTGACAGTGCACTTACAGTGCTGCAGGCTTGTCAGGGATGATTGCAAGATCACTACCTACAAACATTTATCCCATTGCAAGAAAACTAGAAAGGAAAAAGAGTACACAATTTAAATCTTAGGGATTTGGGCAAGGACTCTATTAAAGAATGAAGCACCTCCAAGCTGTAACTTTTCTATATAAACAGTTATCTGCTTTCAAGTCTTCAAGTAACACCAGATGCGTGTGTTGAAAAAATATCAAGCTATTAAAATGTTGTGCAAAGAACTGTAAACTAGAACAGTTAAGTAAAGTATGCTTAGAAAAGCAAGAAATAGTTTCCAGGAATTAGGAAGAAAATAATGATGTTTTTAACACGTGAGTATTTTAGGGACTTGGTATTTTACCCCATATGCTTTGCATTATTTTGCATAAAAGTTTATCACTGTTGTAATTAAAATGGTGCAGATTTAACATCAGCTTATTTTTCTGGCAGTTTGGGGAAGCTGAATGATTTTTCTAAATGATTTTTCTAAACTTTTCTTCCTTCTGTAATTTGAATTGCTGTTTCTATCTGAACTGCAGATAAAGTTGTGATAGAAAAATGTGGTGTGACAAATTATCTGTGTTGGGAAGGAAAAGGGTGAAAAAGTTGAGAAGGATGCTGGAACAATGAAAAGGAGACTATCTGCTGTCAGTAAGACACTGTTTGGTGGAAAACTGACAGTGAAGTATGGTTGAAATCCTGTTCGTTTGGAATTAAGTCACACTCAGATCTATCTCCTGGTTCTGAAGTTGAGCTTCCTGTATCTTTTAGCATAGCAAAGGTTCTGTTTCTAGCTCCTTGGGACACAACACTTGCCATTAGGTTGATACAAATGACTGTTTTCAAATTTGGTAAGTGACTTTCCCTTTCTTTGCCAGGGAAGTACCCCCTGGGGGATATGGGATGGGAAAATAAGAAAGACTTCACACTTCCATGTAAATAGGGAGGCATTAACAACTGCAAACCAGAGAAAGCCCAACTACTTCTAGTCTTCTAAATGCCACCAACTGCAGGAAGCAGGACTGTACTTCATAACCTGCAGAAGCAGGCTTTTCTCACCTGTCCTAGAACTTCTGTGAAGTATTCTGGTAGAACAATGGAAAATTTAGTGTAATTCTTTTATTTGCCTGAAATACTTAAACTCATGCATTTTCCTTGGATTTCGACTGTGGGAATTGACAGTGTATGAAGGAGTTTCATCTGACTTTGAAAAAAAACCCCAACAAATTCCCACTTCACTAAATTCTGCGTTCTTAAAACATCCCCCTGTGCAAAATGGCATGTCACTATGGTATATCACCATAAAAATGCAGGATTGTATTTCAACATTTACTCCTTTACAGTCTCCATCTAGCTCTTTTTTTTTTATGTTTGCTATCATCACTTTCCCTCTTTGCTCTTACAAAGCAATTAATTTACTTTTCCTAGCTCTTTGTCCATAATAAAACCCAGAGCACTGAAGTCACAAAGAAACTGGAAAATAAATCAAAGGAACTTCTAGTATTTTTGAGTCGTATCCATGTGGCTCGTACAATTAAATCGATAAATCCAAAAGAGAGAATCACCATGCTTTTTCTCTTGACAATCTATCACTGCTAAAGACTGGCCACATATGTCACAAGCACATCTATCACCACCCAGAAGACTGCTGCTTCCACAGGGAGACATAATCAAGCACTGATCTGATATAATTTGCTAAATTCGCTTATACTGCCACAGTGAAACATCATCTTTGTTGTACAGCAAACAGATTTTGAAGCAATTCACCAAGTCTTTTATAAACTACATAACCCTAAGAATTCAACTTTAAAATTTAGCCAACCTCGTAGAAAAACATAAAGAGGTGAAGAACCTGCTTACCTACTTACACTATTTGCCAAATCAGTATCATGTAAGAGGATGAATACTATTTAATCCAAATAGTAGTTAATACACAAAAAAGCATTCTTACCACGTAAAATTTATATTCCAGTACACCACTTAAGAGCTCAACCCCTCATGTAGCACACAGCTATCTTTAAAAACGTGTGAAACAAATAGTTTTGGGACTGTTGGAAGCACAGAGAAAGGCTGATTGTTTCAATTCAAAGAGAAATGGTAACACATCAAAAAGCAACTTCTTTCACTAAATGGCAACTGGTATTAGTCTAAATGTTTAAACAGTCCTTGCAGCAAGTACTTAGGTAGGGCTCAGATGACTTTGTCACTAGTTCATTAAGAACTATCATAAGATGTGTTCGATAATTCAATAAACAGCGTGAGCTGTTGGTAGAGTGATGAAATACTGTGGGTGCGAGCTTCAGTCATCTGAGAAGTATAGTTAATCCTTTCAGCCACACGCCCTGAAAGATGGTAGTGTCAAAACTGTAATTTGTTTCCTTCTCCCATCTCAACCAGCAGGATTTTTTAAAGCCAGACTTTATACCTATGGACAGTATATGCTCAGAAGAAATAATGACTAATTCCCAAGGAGCTTAGTTTTTTGTTTGGCCTTTAATCACACTATCAGAATGAAAGATACAACACAAATTAATCTTCATTTTGGATTTCTCAGTTATGTCAGCCTGTAGAGAACTGAATGCTACGCTCAGCATCATGCTAACAGTTTCTCTTACCTTCCACCTCCTCAAAAGAAGGTCAAGAAAGCTAACGCTCAGTGGCTACTATCTTTTCCTATGTTCTCTACATACCATGATTCCTCCCTTTAAAGGTTTCTCCAGAGCAGTCACTGCTGGGGAGCTGTGGTGGCAGGGCTCCAAGGAAGCTGCAACACCAAGAAGTGCTGGGGAAACCATGACCTCAAGGGCTTGGGGCTGAACAGCCTGTGTGTGTACTCAAGCTGAAACACACACACTCCTCAGTCCAAGGAGAACTGGAGTAATCTCTGTGAGGGGGAGTTTGCTCAAAAAATGTCCTTTCCCCTGGACTTTCTGCTTCTCCTTTCCTGCCTTTTTTTCATTGTGCAAGAACAAAAAGGAAAGCATGCAGATTTGGTAAAATGCTCTGAACAGTCCCTAATGGCTGGTCACAGTGATGACACTGAGTTGTAAAAACACCCAAGATGACTCCAGAGGTCCAGTGCATAGAAGGTACCACACCTCTGCAAGAAGCATGTGGTACAGAATAAGCCTGGCAATGCACTTGGCTCAGAAACGTTCCCTTCTTCTTCCCACTGCAGCTTTTCCTTCATCTGCCAGTCTGGGGAAGACTGCTCACTCCTCTCCCAGTCAGCCTGTTGAGGGACCAACCCTGTCTATCTTGCAGAAGCACACAGCTGTCTGGGGCAGGATCTTGTGTCTCTCCTGTGCATCATCCCAAGTGACTGCAGAATCTTCTTTGGGAGATGAAGACACACGTGTACAAAAGACAGCCCGCAGTGTCCCTATAATGATTTCCTGTTGTTCGTGTAATGACACTATTGTAAAAGTGGCCCATTTTCTGCCTTTGATAGATACCATTAGATACCCTTAGATAATTATAGATAATCACCACTGATCTTAATCAAGTTATGCAATAATTGTGATTGAAGTGACAGACAGACTGGCCAATACTAAGGCTCTTCCTTGACCTACATATACTGTAATTTGTCACATGCTCCTAGTAATAGATCGGTTATTTTTCTGTCATGCCTCTCAAGTAAATAAACCCTATGAAAGTCAAATTGTAACTTTAAAATGCACATAAACTTAACTCTCAGAAAGTGTTATTAATAGCACTGAAGAAAATGACTGCTTACAGATGCATTTAAATTGATGACAATTACTCTGCATTTCAAATAAAACAGGAAGCAAACTCTTCACTGGATGATGCCATTCAGAGCATGAGTTTAATGCACTCTATTTAAACACAATGACTTCACCCTTTTAATTGATCAGCCTCTCTAAGGGTGTGGCTTCATGCTGCACTTAACCTGATCTTATTGCAGGGGTCTGCTGAAAGGGAAGGTCCCATTCCCTTGCCCTTCCCTTGCTCCAGCATTGAGCGGCGGCACAGGATGAGTCAAATAAGCTTCCTGACCTGACTGAAAAATAAGGGTAATTTTGGTGGGTTGGCAATTCTGACTATCCAGTAAGCCGATCCAAAGGATCCAAATCACTCTGTGGCCACACAATTGCTTCCTGTCATACAAAGGAGACACAAAGCTGGAAAGGAGGAAGAAAACCCTGATCCTTCCTTTTCAGCAGCAGCCGGCAGTTGAACAGGTGAAGTATACATGAAACTGCTTCTTAAGGCTCTATTTCCCTGGCAGCCTAAATGATCACGATTCCCACTGTCCCACCTCCAGCTACGTGTTCCTGGTACTCTTCTTGCTGGACTCTTCTCTGAGATGACCCTATGCACCAAGTTGACAGAAAATTAAACCAATTGAAAAGTCACCCTTTCTCCTTTTTTGCCCCATTCCTCCTCCACTGCCCTGGTCCTCATCTATTCACATGGCAGCGTAATGCCCCATCCTGCCCAGCAAAACTAAAAAAAACCAAAACAAACCAAAACAAAAAAAACAAGACCAAAACCATGAAAAACAAAAAAACCATTCTTTTTTTTGGTCAGGATTAATTTTCTGTTGTTTACAACACAGAGTTAGCCACAAGCACGTTCTCAAGACCAAGAGAGAAACAGAAAAGGGGACTGTGAGAAGCTGTTCATGTAGTTCAAAGGAGTAACATTAAAAACACAGGCTCTTACCACCTCCCTGTGAAGTCTGGCAACTTAATTTTGGCCCGCATCCATAAGCACCATGAGCTACAGAAATCATATTTGCACTGCAATGGCCGAGATAACTTGGATGTTATCTCCTCTGCTCTGGGTATGGGGACACGAGCAGAGGTATGGGGCATGTAATTTACGGGCAGTATGTTCAAAACCTACAGAAAAAGTTTCCCTAGAACGTGAATTTCATTGCCCTAAAAGCAAAATATAGCTTCACAGCCTTTCCTAAGCTAGCCCAAAGCTTAGAGAAGTCTTAGGATTCATTTAAAGGTGGAAAAACTATGGAGTCACTACAAAAACTAATGTATTATAAAAGTCTTACCGCTGAAACAGGCTCCATGGCTTCTTGCTTGATAGGGACTGGGTCAAACATTAGCATCTTTTTTATTCACCTGTTCTGATGCCTCTGATGTCCTGGCCTGCAGGGGAAAGACAAGGTGTTAGAGAACTACAGGAAATCCCCTACTCAACTTCTGAACTGCAGGGAAAGTACTATTTTGTTGGATTAATGTGAGTATTTATCCATCTCTAAATAGCTTCTTAAATATTTGACTGAGATTCATTTAAATATTTCAGTTGCAAGTTTGTTCTTTCTCAATTGCTGTGGAAACAAAGGGACATCTGCTCACCTTAATGAAAGTTAAGTTGAATTTTTATTGTGCATCTCAGCATACAAAGATCACAGAATTGTCACTTTCACTAGTGCCAGCATGTAAATACTTCACAGTCTACAGTAGGCATTTCTCATCAGCATTACAACTTCAGAACTGTCTTGTATAAACAAAGTGAACTGATTCGGGAGAGGATATCGCTTTTCTAAGAGTTCTGGTAGAAAAGTTGAAACTTTCACATACAGTGACATTGAAATCTACACAAAACAAAGACTTAAGATCCAGCACTAATTTGGAGAGGTACATTCAACATCCTACAATGACTTAACATAAAAAATACATTAGTTACTTCCCTGAGATAATAGATTAACTGACAATTCAATAACAACTTGTGCTAACTGTGCAAAGGAAAAGCTCTTCAAAAGACCTGGTTGTATTCTGTGCAGCTTCAGCTGTTTTTTCTACAGTGTGTTCAATCTCACTTGTCCAATTCTAGCTTATTTGGAAAAATAAAAAACTACACAAATTCAATTTTGACCAGTAGATGGCACTGGAAAGAAACGAATACAGCCAGAGCACATCATCCGACTTCACCCTGCGGAAGTAGGCTAAAGGCTCAACAACAGATGTGTAGTTGTGGCTGGAAAATTCTTCCAGAAATTTAAATGAAAATTTTATGATGTACCTGCTCAAATTAAAACAATTCCAATAAGCCCACACTAATGAACAATCTTACAATTAACAATCCTGTGTACTTATAGACAAAAATTTGTTAAGAGCTGCCAGAAAAAGATGGCATGAGTTGTTACAAGTCTATCATTAATTATTCAGGTATATGAATCAAGTTTAAAGACTTTTGGAAACATATTACCACAGTGTACATTTTGAATAAAAGAAACAAGTATCACAAGTAAATGAAACGATCTTCCTACTTCTTTTTACAGAAGTCAAAGGCCTGACAGAATCAAATAACAAAAAAAGAAGAAAAAAGTGAAACAAATAGAGCACTCAATGTAATTTCTAGCTTAAACTTAACACACAGTTTTATTTCAGAAGCAGTTGAGTAAGATGGCACTATTTGCTAAAGGTTGTGATAATTTTGTAGATTTTTAATTTAATACTCAAAGTATGTTTGTGAGAAGGTTATTGATTATACTATTCTTCTTTGAACAGTTTACTTTTCCAGGTTTTTAACATTTCGCATAGCTTGACCTAATGTTTCAGAAGACTATCTTCCCAGAAATATATCCACTTATCTATGCATGAAATATGTCTCACACATGTTCCTACACACGTATATATATGCATTGTGAAACAGAAAAAAAGTTATACTTTCAGACATAAAAATGTTTGCAATAAAATGTAGCCTCTCCAACCTCACTTATTAGAATTTGGAACTACTTGCTTTCAGGTCCAGAAACTTCCAATTTTTAGTTTGTACGTGCATAGATAAAAGTGACACACCACTTTGTACTTCAGTGAAAGAAGAGGCAAGAGAAGAGAGAAGAGAGGGAAGAAAGAGAAGGAAAGGGAAGGAATGAAAGAGAAGGAAGGAGTTTGTTCCAAGTAAGCAGTCATGCTCCCAGGCTATTCTTTTTGCCACTGCTGTTTAAAAATTTATTTTCTTCAGTTTAAGTTACTCCTTTTCACCTTTTACTCCAAGAAAGTGTGTGAAAGACACTTGATACACATTTTACTGTCATGCTACGCATTTGAGTGTCTCCTGAGAGAGCTCTAAATTACTGTGTAGGAGTTAGACTGACATAGATAACATAAAGTGTACTGCACTAAATAAAAGTGAAAAGTAATTCTCAGTCTTCCTCAGGTATTGTCATCTAAGAACAGCAAAAGAAAATGTTTACTTTTATTGCTGCATCATAGAAGAGAAATCAAGCACTTCTTTATCACGTTAACTCTTAAGTGTTTCTTTTCGCCATTGATAGTGACTGGAAACTGATTTTCAAGAAAGGAAAAATAATCAATACACAATGTTGGTCCAGGTCAGAGGGTCAGATTCTTATTTGGTGGAAACTGGTGGAGTTGCTATAGAGTCAGTATAAACCAGCTTTGGGTCTGGCATTTAAAGTGTAGCTCAGAAGCACACTTTCCGAAGGCTGCAAATAAACTCACAAAACAATTCTCTTTGTATTTAAAAATAATGCTCCAAATTGATTGCTTGGACCACATTCACAAGTAACTACATGCACATCCAACTCACACACAAATAAAGCATGCTAATTCTAAGTTGTCAGTAGTTTTTCCTAGGCTATTTGCAAAATCATGCATACTAACTCACAACCTCCCAGCTCTCTCTCCTAAACATTTGAGAAGGGGGCAATAGGGAAGGTAAACAGTCTTATCTGTTTCTATTACAGAGGAATGAAAAAACAGTTGGGTTCTACTTTACACACTGATTTCACAATTTACTTGTTTGGAAGCCCACAAATTGTTTTGTAAATACAACTAATTTCTGGAAAATCAAAATACCCTCTCTCATTCCTGACGTACCCTGGAAAAAACAGTGAGGGGACAATATATTCATTTTAAGTGTATTAAAAAATAAGGGCCTTTGTCTTTCATGTTATTAGATAAACTGTTTTGCATTAAAAGGTTTTTTTCATGTGGGTTAGAAGAATTTAAAATGCATGCAATCTGAAACTAAATAATTAACTACAATCTGGTAGGCAAACATTCCACCCTCTCTCTTTTTTGCTCTCCCTCTCTTTTTCTGCTAACAAGCCACCCAGTTTTACTTTCTTGTCTCCTCCCATTCACTCCACCCTGTGGATCTCTGCCAAGTCAGTCCAACTTGCCCAAACAGGACATGGCTTTTGATAAAATTTTGCTCACACCCTGTACTTCAGAAAGACAAATGAAGCAATGGGGTTTTGTACGCAAATAAGGACAGGTGCAAGGTAAAGTCCAGACAAAGTCCTTCAGTATTTTCCTATCTTAAGTCCAGTGAAGACAGCAAGCCAGAAAAAACATGAACTCTGCCTTTATGATCCAATATGCAGTGAAGTATCCCTTCCAAAAGGGAAGTTCATCACCAGTAGGGCTCATCACCTTGTCAGGATTGAAGACTTTGTGATATTAACTTCCTGACAGGTACGGTTTACTGTTTCAGAGACATAATTAAGAGTAAATGAAAGCTTAAAGGTACTCAACGTGTATTCTGACAGTAAGGACTTGTACATATTATTTACCCTGGATGAAACAAGCAAAGCAGTTAAAGAATGGAGCCAGACTACACATCTACAGTGCAGAGCAGCTGGAGAAGAGCAATCGCATTGCAGCTACTACCAGCAGCTTCACACATCTACCTTCAAGGTCCACCAACTCTGCAGACCTGTTATGAAAGGAAAGGGTGGGGTGGAGGGCTAGTTTTGACTGTGCGCATCCAACAACTACAAAGCCTCCCTCTGACATAGAGCCTTCGCTCTCACTAAATACCTGGAAGAGTAGTCAGTATCCTGACTCTTGTTGTGGACAGTGAGGTGGTGACCATAAATTCTGCCTCTCTTCACCCTGCACGAAAGCATGCACGGGGCTTGCTTTCTCAGTCTTTGTGCCTGGGGGAAGCAAGTAATACTGCCTCGTGGTACAGTGAAGCTTTGTCTAGAAGCTTCAAGGTATGATTGTTATTGCTGGGATAATTACAGAATAATGTAATGATACCTGCTAAATTAGCACTGCGTGAGTGCCCTCTGCAAAGGCACTGCAGCTCTCACAGCACTGTTGGTATCTAGCAGCCGACTTAAGTCGTGGCCAAAGCTCTGCAGTCCAAGCCCTTTGGGACTTAGGCTGTTGCTCTGAAACTGTTACTTCTGTGAGCCTGGAGTCAAACTTCCCCTGATAATCAGGAAAATGATAACATCAGAAGACTCTCCACTGATGAAATCCAAAGGGTAGGGAGGTTTTCTGAACCGAGTGAGAAGTCTTCTTCAGTGCAAACTTGAAAGAGAGTTTGACAGAGAAAAACTAGTTTTTGAGAGCAGTATTTTTGAGCACAAGAAGTGTTCTCCAGGGCTAGCAACAAGATGTGTTCGCACATATTGTACCAGTTGCTCATCAAGACCTGAGTCAGCATAAAAGTGTTTCTAAAGTTCCATTAACTTTAATGGGAAGTAAGCAAGTGCTTAACTGCAAAGGGCCCCAAAATAGCAGGCAGCAAAGAAACTCTCCAGCTCAGCGCAGCAGTCAGACTCAGTCAAAGCAAGAGCAGGGGAAGGAGCAAAGGCCCAGACATGGTGCTGGGGGAAGGGACCGCAGCAATCAGCCCACAAAGAACAAATCAGGGGAAGAATCATGAAGAACTAGTACAACAAGAAAACACTTCACTGATCGGCAGCCTTGTGTGTTTGTTTATTCACTGCATTTCCACTGGGAAATGGTAGTAACTGTTGAAAAAGTTAGGATATCATGTAAAAAGAAAATTTTACAGGGGCAAAATTCTGCTAAAAGTTTTACGTAATAGGCATGAAGAAATATTGTATTTCTATAGGATTCTGTTATTCAGTATTTGAAGCTACTTTTGCTTCTTACTGACTTGAAAATCTTTTACCTTCCTCCTTTCAGAACTGCAAGCAGGCTGAAAAATCTGGGCTTTTTTGCAGAACTTGGGCATCGTAACTTTGCTGACGTCACCTTGACCTAGAACTGCTTTGGCACAATAGTTTATCAGCTGTGTAGCAGACTAACCAGTATTTCCATTAGATTTACAATACTGTTGCAGGCTCTTTGAGGCCACATGCCTGGAAATGCCTTTCTTTTATTTTTTGGGCAAACTGGGACAAAAATGTTCTTGCAGTGCTCATTAAGAAAATGTCTTCTCTGTCAAGGAAAAACGGGGCCCACATAAACCCTGTTGAACCTTCACTTCTACAGTTACTGAACCTAAGGGAGAGAGAAAGAAAAGCTCAAGGCACCTCCATTAGACAATATTCTCCCTTATCACAGCAGACTGCTGTCTGGTTTCCTGTTTCGGGCTACTTCTTAGAAGGAGAAACAGTCTAGTAAGGATAAAAGATCGGACTTCTGAAAACAAGTGAAGTATGTGGAATGGTATGATAACCTTTCCCTTCCAAACTGAGCTTTTTTGGTTGTGTTTTTCTTAAGAGGTTAATTTTGAACATAATTTATAAAGAGAAATATAAATCCTATCCTTTTATTGTGAAGGAAGAACGTCATAAAATACTGTTCCCTTATGTGAAGTGTTCTGCTATTTCATGAAACGTATGAAACAAAGAATCAACATTTTTGATAGTAACGGGAAGAAGGAAAAAAAATCTAATCCTGAAGAAAGGAAGTATGTATTTATGAATAATAGCCTAAAGGATTAATTTGACTGAGGGTTTGAATACAGGGCAAATGTCAGTGAACTTCTATGTACCTATGGAAGTGGAATAAATAAAAACAGGGAGAAGACCTGGATGGTGTAGAGCGTACAAATCAGTCTTCAGAGCTGCTTAGTGGAAAGTCTGTCATGCCTTTGTGGATCAAGTTTGTTGGTAACACACACTGACTGCATGATAGGCAGACCATACGTTTGGTGGGGTTTTTTTTTTCCATTCTGACTTAGTTTACTATTAAAAACCTGTTAGAGCTTTATCTTTCCATTTGGCTGATCTACACTCACATTTCCTTCCCCTGGGAGATACCAACTGTGGCTACAAAACCCTCAAAGGAAGCCTCGGCATCAAGTGAATGCTTAAGAGGGAAGGGTTAAATCTCTTGTAAAACCAGCTCTGCCAAACTTCATATTCTGGATTGGAAGCAGCCAGCCTCAGAATGAAAACACACAGCTTCAATGCTGCCAGCATAAAAGAACTCTAAAAGACCTCCTGTTAGCGGTGTTAATTAATATTAAAAAGTTGGTTTACAAAACTATTATACTTTTAATCTTAATCCCTGATTTTGTACAACTTCTGGCTACAAAAAGGTGTGAACCACAACATTTACTGCATTTATTATACACCAGTTTCCAATATTAAAGGCAGTTAAATGCAAAACTTTTCCTCTGTCATGGGGGAAAAAAAAAAGTATGTTTGAAACCCTGTGCAAATTACCAGTACTGGAATTAAGACATTTAATCAGGTTTTAATGGATAAACTTATGCATGGTAATAGAAAAACAAGTAAAAACAACTTAGAGTGACAACTGAAAATAATGGATAAACAACTTACCAAAACTGTGTGGACAAATACTTCTTGTTATCTGGATTTCTGAACAGACAAAAAACAAGTTTATGTAAGGATGTGCACGTAATTCAGTAAAAATTATTTTTCACATACAATTAAGCCCTGAAAGAGGAAGTTTAAAGCATGTAGTTCAGATACTTCTCAAAAGATACCTGCAATCATCACAAACAGCTAACTTTTAGGTTCCCAAAAAGCAACATCAGAAAAAAAGATTACTTTAAAAATGAGTGAAATAAAAAAATGGGTAAAATAAAAGGGTGGAAGTATTTCGGTGTGTACAGAAACCATGCATATTCCAGCACCTAAGTGACAGAGAAGAATAAACACTCCATTTTGCATTTTCATCCAGGGCCGGATTCAAAGCCCATTGAAGTTAATGCAAGTCTTTCTCTTGATTTCAATGAGCTTTGGCTTAGGTCCTTTAGCTCTTCTTCTGTCAGATCCAAAGCAACAGAAAAATTTATGTTCTCTCTCTGAATTTCCTCTCACTGTTTATGTCTGCCTGCAACAGGGTCAGGGGAGAAGACAAATACAAGAACAGAAGTAAAAAATTATTTTTATGCCTTCAAAAATGCAAAATGTGGGACAGCTATACCTATTTATTCCAAAGAAAAGTTAGCCAGCAGTGCCTCATTTTCTGTATTACATCAGGCAGACAGTGAATCTTCTACCTTGTATCAGGAGAAAACACCTATTCCTTTTGACATTTGGAAATACAAAGTGCTTATGGTGGGCCATTCAGGTTGGGTAAGGTCAGAAGCCAAAACTTGTAACTATGAGCCTACAAAAGGATGTGAATTCTTCTCTCAAACTCTTTTTACACCAGTGTAACTCTGTGACTTTAATGGAGCTATTCCAGATCAGCTGATGACCAAGTGAGAGCAGAAAACTGGCTCACAACTTTCTAGAGACTTACGTGTTCAGCACAGTGAGCAAAGCTCTCCAGTTCACCCCATAACTGTATTGGAGTAGAGGGTGTGCGTTAAAGGTTAACTTGGAAACCTCGTTATGACATAACGCAGGCATCTTAAGCAATCCTGAGTGTGTAGAGACATGATAACTCATTGGGTGGGGATTGGGAGTTGAGGGGCAGTGACAAGGGGCCTGGACGAGGCTACCGATCTGCCAGAAAACAGCCTGAAACAGGAAAGAGCACCACATATGCCACTTGGAATGTGTGACGCAAACCCCAGCCTTGAAACAAAGAACAGGAAACAGCTCTGCTGGCTGCGCTGGGGAGAAAGCACAGAGAAACATTTAGGCGGCCCTCCCTGACCCTATATTCATGAGCAGCTGGAGTCTTTTAAAACAACAGCAGTGGGTGGAGGTGTTTGTTCATTGGGTGTGAATAAAAACACTGTCCTTATGCAGGGGACCTGCCCTATTTACAAACAGGCTCCCTTAGCATAAGGGAGCAGGAGATTTTTAGACACCACAGGTCATGACGATTAGCTGAAACCTTCCGTAAGACCAGTTGGTTTATTACCGTATTTACAGAATGCCAGAAGCTAGACAGAGCTACAGCTTCATGACATCAAACAGGCAGCACCCAGCGCGACACTGCGCACCTTCTTCGCAGGCAGAGCCAAGGGGATCACACCACTGCAGGAATGACCTGTAAAGCTAGGGGTTGCTCCTGGACCATGTCTCACTTTGTGTTCAGTACTGCTCGGTAGCTGAGGACCAACATCACCCAGCGCACTCATGAATATTTTTTTAACCCATCACATGCTTAGCCTTCTACATCCCTGTTTCATGTTCAGACTTCATCTCAGGACCTGATTTTCCACGGATATAGTATTTTTAATTTTGAAGCACCCAAATATGCAGGTGAATAAATGAAATAAGATGACAACATAAGGCAGAGCAAAAGCACACCTTGTCTAGATGTCATACAATAGAGTAACTTTAATATACATTTTCCTTCAAAGGTGTGATCTCAAATACTCTCATATTCAAATACTCTTACATACTTTGAATTGTTTATTTATATACTATGGGTGAGACATCTAATATTATCCAATGTGAGAATGTGTTACAACAAATTATGTGGACAAGTACCACAGTAACACTAATAACTGCTATGGGGTTCATGGCTGGAGTTTAACAATGCTCATGAGGTGACAACTGACTAGTATATAAGTAATTTAGTGGTTGTGTAACTCCCACCTCTGTTATCTCTGAGCCTTTGACTAATCTCACTCACATTTACCTAATTATTTACCTGAAAACTCTTGGTTTTGGCTGAACATGTGTTGCCTGGGTCAAATCCTCACACTACCTAAGGGCTCACTTGCAGCTCTGCTACTTAAAGAGGAGATTTTGCTCCATTTCTCAGAGAAGTGAGAGACTCTCTGGTTTTTTCCCCCTTGCCCTTAACCCCAGTCTTCCTTGAGGAAGCAGTAACAAGGTGTGCAAAGGGAGGGAAAAGTATTTGCCTGCTTGGGAAAAAATAAAAAAAGTCCACTCAAGTCAGCTTCAGGTTCTTTGTATTTTGATACTAAACAAAATATGCTTAAAAATACAAGAGGAAAGTTAGTTTGAAATAAGTCTCTTCTGGGTCAGGCAGGAATATTAAATCCAGATGTGATTCCTCTCACACAAGCAGCAGCTCCTCATGCGATTATCAAGACAGTGTATCTCAACAGTATTCTACGGAAAAGTCACCAGTGAACAGGCATGTGATCCTTTGTTTTTAGTACAAGTAATGAACATTTATGGATGTTAGTTCAAATAAAGTCTTCAGAGCTGTCCTATCAGGCACACAAATTCAGCTTTTCCCAACAATAAAACCTTCAGAGTTCAGCTCCACAAATGGTGATACTTCCTGAGTTTTCAAAGGCGAGGAAGCAAGTAAAACACAGCAGACAGTGCAGGTACAGTACCCAAGTCAACATGGGAGCAAATGTGATGGGGTTTGTTTTTTTTCATATACTTCTTGAATGACCACTTGAGCTATGCTTTTCTCCCAACCTCAGGTTAGGTGCTGTGATCTGCCAGTGTGGGCTCCTGTTGCTGAACCTTCCTTTTCCAGGGATCCCCTAGCTGTGCCAGGCACTCACCTTACAAATGTTCAAAGCAAGTAACTCCTATTCCCATTTCGGCTTAAAACCCAAAAATATCAAAAAGCCCAAACGGCATCCAGAAAAGGGAAGCTAATTAGTCGTTTCTAATTCCACACTAGAGTGGAGTTAGCCGTGCTGTCCTAGGCGCTGTGCGTTTTACCTTCGCCTGCACCACTACTAAGTGCTGCTAAGGTTAGATGACAGTGCGAGTGATAGATTTCGGAGAGCCCGTCTCATCCTCGACTTGACTCATCCTTGACCGGGAGTTAAACTGGGGACACGGCGCTGCTGAACAGCTTCGCGCCGCTGGTGGGACAGGGCCAAGAAGCGAGTTCCTGCCCTGGCATCTCCCCGCCGCCCTCAGAGCCGAGGGC